GAGAAAGGCCCCCCCTAAAATTCATACCAAAGCCTTATCCAGGCATGCAACCTGGTTTACATAGTCAGGTTGAAAAAAGTCCAAGTTCAACTTGTAGAAAAAAACAAAAAACAGAACCCTGTGCCTTCAGTGGCCCACTGTTGATCTAGAGAAAGGCAAAAAAAACCCCTACTAGGGAAGGGAGGGCATCAGGTAGATGTTGCAATAATATCCTAAAAAGTGTTCTCACTGAAAATACACTATTGTTTCCATAAAAAAAGTAAACTAGCCAAATTTAAAATGTTCAAATAGTCAAATTATCATTATTCTTTGAACACATTGGTAATGTTGCTGGCATACAAGTTCATGTTGCATGATATGACCCTGTACGGCAAATAAATCTTCTAAAGGCTGTCCTCACTTAATTTTTCCCATCTTCCCTGTTTTCCATTGCAGAAATGCCTCCGATTTAATCCAGACGCCACTATCTGGGTAGCAAAGCAGCAGATATTGTGCACGCTAAATGAGAGCCTCAAGGATGTCCTCAACTATGGCCTCTTCCAACCAGCGACCAATGGAAGAGATGCCAAGTTCCTGGATGAAGAGCGGCTGCTTCGGGAATACCCACAGTCCTTTGAAAAAGGGGTTCCGTATTTGGAGGCAAGTATTGCAATGTGATTGTATGCATGTCAGAATGATGAAACTCACAAAGCTGTTCTTAAAGGAAGCCTTTCTTTTTGAGAAATCTGGAGGCTACCATTCTAAATGATATTAGGCCACAATGCTAAACCTTTTGTTGTAATACTGTGACCCAGAACAAATATTCAGAAAAGGACTTTGGATTTTTCTCCAACTTTCCGAAAAGTGAAGGTATTGAAGATAAAGCGTCAGTATAACAGCATCGTCCAGAAGTTGGTCAACAATAGGTCATCTCTTCTGTCTCTAAGGAAATATTTAGCTGAAGATCAGAAGATCCCCTTTTTCTTGAACGCTTAGGGACTCTGTCCCCTTGCTCATTTAGGGCAGCCCGCCACCCATGACCTACCTACATGCCCCTTCCCAGTGATATCCCACCGCTTTGTTGCTCCAGCAGTCAAACCCTAAAAAGCACCAATTCGGTGTCAGAGCTTACACAGGGTTGACGGTGCTGTCTTATTTGTCAAGTGACTGTGTTCGGGGCTGGCGATGGCCCAAGCACTACATCTTGGGTGGAGGTCACATGCTCCCCCTATACCTGGAAGTACTGGGCCTTTGTGATGGAGCAACAGGGAAGTTCAGAAAGATGAGTATAAGTGGGTTTTAAGGCTAAGTTACTCTGCCAATTGGCCCTGTATGAATTTTAGCAACAGAACCACTTTGATACAACTTAGAGTATGTGCCAAGTACAAAACATGTGGCAGCCATTCACAATTTTCAATGCGCTAAACTGAACAATGGTGACATTTGATTGGTCAGTTTGGGTTTCTGTAGTTTGTGTTTGATCATTGCTCATTACATTATTGTTTATTTGGATAAGCTTGTTAGTATATTTGTTCCCAGACCGTTTCTCTGCACAGACTGGTCACCATGGTTACAGAAGTCAGATAATATTTTGTTTAACTGTTATTTTATGGTTTTATTAAAACTGAACTCTGGGCACATAAACTTTCATTATATTTCTTAATAGCCAGAAAGGGTATAAATCCACTGTGTGCAATAAATGCATTTGCTTTTGCCAACCCAGCTGTTACCTAAAAGTAACAGTGACATAATCACTGTGCTATACATGGCATGAGCAGTAGAAGGGGCCCATTAGATTCCACCCACTGCATGCAGAAAAACTACAGGGGGGAGGGCGGTGATAAGACCAGTCACCCTGCATAAGAGGAGAGAGCAGCAGTGAGTGGTCTTTGTTACAAGAAGCTCCAAGTTTCACACTGGATTACTGCACACATCTGGAAGAAATAAACAAAGCTCACCGAGATTCAAGTAAGAATACACATGATCCTTGTGTTTAGACAATATTTGCCCACCCTCAATTTCAGCTTTAGGACAATTGTATATTGGCTCAGTAATTGTCCTTGTGATAGCAGTCCATGAAACCTTAAGGTGCCCATACACCTTACAATTTATCTGCAGATTTTCTGTGGTCAGATGGAAAAAGTGCAACAGATTGGCCCAGGTGGAGATTACTCCATCCACACAGTTGAGCGTAGATGGAGGAATCTGTTGCACCTTTTCCATCTGACCACAGAAAATCTGCAGATAATTGTAAGGTGTATGGCCAGCTCTACATTTTGCTGATTTTTATGTTTTGCTGTATATTTGCAGTTCCGCTACAAGACGAGAGTTTACAAACAGACTAACCTTGATGAAAAGCAATTGGCCAAGCTTCACACCAAGGTAAGTTTAACGTGACCGGAGAACATTCAAAATGTGCAAATCCTACGTTATCACTAGTTCTAGAATTCTAGTGGGGACTACAAGTGGGTGTTTTAACACACATTACACGGGCATGATCCACTGTTGTCACCATCCGTAAACCTGCCCTGAGAAATACCATACTGCTGGAGTGAATGCATGTAGACAGGAAGTAGGTGCAAAGGCAGTCAACGTCACTATTTAGCTATGCTCAGACAACACATGTTGCCCAAGCTGTAGGTTAATTTCCTCGTTCCAGGCTCCAGTTCATGTTAGTTTCTGTGTTTGAGTTCTGTGTTCCTGTCTTGGCTGCAGGAGATCAGCAGAGCATGATAAAACAGGTGAAGTCAAGAATTTTATAAAGTAAGTAAATTGATTGATGCACTGGGCTTTAGCAAACTAAAGGTCATTCAGTTAGGGTTTTCATATGCTTCAAACAGACCTTCTCTCCCTCTCCCACATCTGATATTACCACTAAAAACACATGTAGGCTGAAATTTGAGCCAATAACGCAAGTCAATGGAGGTACGCTGAATTAACCACTTAAAGACCTGCGTTTACACCCCCTTCCTGGCCAGGCCATTTTTCAGTATTCAGCGCTGCGGTACTTTGATATTTATTCAGTCATGTAACGCTGTACTGAAATGTATTTTATACCATTATTTTGGGGACAGATAGAGCTTTCTTTTGGTGGTATTTAGTCACCACTGCGGTTTTTTTTTTTTTTTTACTATATAATGAAAAAAGTACCATTCATTTTGGAAAAAAAAAACTTTTCCCTACGTTATATTGAAAAACATTTACTTAACGCGATGATTGTTTGCGCGCGTGTATGTGGGGTTGGGGACTTTAAAAAATGTGTTGTTTTTTTTATGTGTGACTCATTTTTTGGGGGGAACTTTAATTCTTTTTTTTTTTTACTTAACTTTATTGTTATCACATAGGGGATTAAGAATCCCCCTATGTGATAGCAAAGAGGGGATGTGACAGGTCCTCTTTATTAAAACATCGGGGGTCTTTAGGACCCCTAATGTCACCTAGGGACCCCCAAAGAAGCTTATGAAGCATAGATCTGCTTCATCAGCTTCTCTCTAGCTTCTGTAGCTGGAAAGTGACAGCAGAATGCGGAAGTGATGTAATATACATCACTTCCTACATTCTGACATCGGAGAGGAGATGGGAGGGAGATTGGGTGCTGATCTCCCTCTGTTCCCCAGGCACAGAGCTGCCATGCCGATCCCGCCCTGCCCCGGGCGGAGTGGAGCTTGGACCCAGCGCTGCGGAGGGTGGGGGAGCGCACCGACCTGCACCTCATACAAGCGATCAGTCAGGTCTATAGCCGGCCGGCCGGGAAGCGGTTATAGTGACACTAAACTCAGGATTTAAATCTTACAAATGCGTTCAAGTGCCTTAACTATTAACAAAAATGTATGGACTACAACATCAGTACAAATTGGTAAGCTAAATGGAAGATTGTAGTCCATCACAGGAGCAAGCAATTTCACCAAGGAGAGCATAGAAGGGTCTATGGGAAGACACGGCAGCAACGTGGTTACACGCAGACCCCAACCTGCACATTTGTGTGAGTCCGGGTGGCCACACTTGGCTGCAGACCGTGTGCATTCAAGTGTGGGCACTCCGACCCCAACTGATGTACAGGTTTGGTTCCGCAGCTGCGTCCTCCCATAGAGAGATACAGGCTGCTGCACGCAATTACAAGCAGCACCTGTTCCTCCTGGGAGAGGGAAGCTGCACGGGGTACACACTCTATGCATGTGCACGCCTGTGTGAATGACTTCTTTGCCTTGTCCAGGAACAATGGGAATCTATTGAGGGGTTCCTTTTTAAAAACACAACAAATTCCTTTTAATATTGCAGGGATGTGGTAGGACTTAGGATTATTAGGACACTCTAGCTGTCTACATCGAGCTACAACAGAGTGAATAAACAACCCTGATAAATCGCTAAACCAAGCTGTTTAGTAGAAATACTGAGGATCATTTTTCAAGGTGTCAACACTCCCAAAGATAATAAAGTATCAATGATTTATATCATGAGATGGGTTAAGGCTGCATAATAATCATGGAGATTCATTCCCTCTCACCAGCTTGACAATAAGTTGGAGGCAAGCTGACAAAAGCCCGGCACAGCATAAATGCATTATAGTGCACACAGGTACGGAACCATTTAAAATATTACGTTCTTTCTCCCCTTACCAGGTACAGTATATGGTCTCAAACACATGAAAAAAACCTGGCAAAAGCTTGCGTTGGATCAAGGGTAGGTAACCTCGACACTCCAGCTGTGGTGAAACCTTCAATCCCACCATGCCTCTGGGAGACATACCTGTGGCTGTCAGAGTCTTGTAATGCCTCATGGGACTTGTAGTCCCACAACAACTGGAGTGCAGAGGTTGCCCACCTCTGTGTTAGAACATATGCTAAGCATGGGATGGAACAAAAAAAAGCCACTTGTGTGTGACCAAGCTAGGGTTGCCACCTCTCCAGGATTCACCCGGACAGTCCAGGTTTTGGATGCTGTGTCGGGGGTTTCATGGCAGCAGAAACCCGGACACAAGATGTCAGTGAGGCAGGGGTAACAAAAATTAGGATAGGGGCTACTGGCCCCCCACTGAAAATAGTCTCAACTGTGATAGTTACATATGAATGGGTGGCGTTATTTACATATAAAAATTTGGTGTGCCGCTAGAATGTTCGGGTTTAGCTTGAAGAAAAGGTGGCAACCCTAGACCAAGCTAGTCTATAGTTCCAACTAATCAGACTATCATGCGATCTTTGCCATAATGGTATATTGTTTCAGAATCAAAGACAATGTGGTCAGAAGTTTTGGTGTATTTTGGAACACTGCAATTTCTCCAAGGAGAGCATAGAAGGCTGTAAGCGCTGTACTGTTGACACAACTGCGGGGGAAAAAAAATAGGAGTCCTTGACAGTGAGGGACATGCGCGGTTGTGATCCAGGAATTGAACTTTAAGAGAAAAAAAAAACTAAATTAAGGGCTGTATGCATCTGATATGATTTATACAACATAACTTAAAGGAGAATTATGAGTCGAGTGATTTTCACTCAGCCTCATAATCTGAGCCGACCTGTGACAATGAAACTGTCACAGGTGACGGGAGGATGCTAGTTTGTGTCCTCCCGTTACCCTTAGCAGAACTATGGGGAAAAGCACTGACCCCATAGTTCTCCTTTAAGAGCCAAGTTTACCTTTCAGACAATGTTCATGCTGCACCCATATTTAGGGTGTAACATGAAACATGGTCACATCGAAACCTCCCCATCCAATCCATCCATCCCATCCATTCTTTTATGATTTTTTTTTTTTTTTTAAAGGGGGACTTTACCTTTACATGTAGTTCAAACAGCTATGTCTTTTCTGTCTCCATATACTCGTCTCTTTAATAAATTATTCTTGTAGTATCAGTGTTAGGGTCACGAAAGACCCTGTAGCAGGACTGCATTTATCATAACAGCACTTATAGGTTATTGCCTAGGGAAGAAAGTAAGGGGGGGGTAGACAAATCCACAATGTAATTGTAAACTGTGGAAGTATTTCCTGACATGGAAATCATTGTAATCAACAGTCCATATTGATTATATTTTGAGGTAACTATACGGGAGTGTGCAAATTACATAAACTTTGTGTTGGGAAGAATGACCGGAAAATTTCTAATTTTATTACTATTTACTCCCAATAAACAAGGAAATAAAAGTATAAGAATCCAAAATTGCAACAACTTCAAGCCTTATCTGTCCCAGGTCATTATAATGTAATATGTTATTGTAGACTACAAACACTATAACGTGTGAAGCCAAGACATCACCAAAAGGAAAACAAAAAAAAAAAAAGCTCTGGGAGATTTATAGAGAAAAAGGCTTGGGAATTAAAGTGATGGAGTGACCAACCTGTCACTTGCAATAGACACTGTACTGACATGCCAGAATGCTCACCAGCAGCACTACACTAGAACTAACTCATCACACAACTCCATTAGCATGAGAATAATCCCTACCAGCAGCATAATAATAACCGCCACCACTGTAATAATATCCCGCAGCATTCCTGCGTTAAACAAACCCCCAGGAGCATTATAAAATGTTCCTAGCCCACAGCAAGATTATATGGTATCTAGATGTCTCAGCAGCCATATAATAATATATACCCCTTAGCCACTATTCTAATACTTTAATCCAGCCTTTTTTCCCCATTTACATTTGTATATTACATTTTTTATTAGTACTAAACCATAAGGCAGGTATAGCAAAGCGTAACCACCTTCAGGGGTGAAGGCCAGTGAGATTCTAAAGCTGCTGTAATGAGCAATATTACAGAACTGAAATAAACTGGACCATACAGGTAGAATGCGAGAGGGTAGCTTTCAAGTGCAGAGGGCAAAGTGTTGACTTCCTGCTTTAATATATCATTGTAAACTATACCGAGGTTACCAACAATAAAAAAGAAACTTAGATAGTTGATAAAATGTGCTATGGTTTAGTTCACTAAAAATGGTTAAAAAAAGCAGGAAATATTTTACCTATCTGTATCTTTCTCACCTTTTTTTTTTTTTACCATAGAGGAACCCTTGAAATAACTGAGGGTTTCAGGGAACCCCCGACAATAATTACCATATCTACAGCTCAAGTTATATTAATGGGGTCGTCAGTGGGGAGGATGCTTCTTACGTTGGTGGTCAGTGGGAAAAATGCCCCCGTTAAGAGGTAGAAAATGCTCAGTTGTCAAGGGAACCCACCAAGCAACGTCTGGAGAAAGCCTAGGATGCCATGGAACTCTGGCCGAGAAAGGCTGTTTTAAAGTGACAATAAACTCAGGAGTTAAATCTTAAAAATGCATTCAAGTACCCTAACTACAGTATTAACAAATATGTATCTTATTTGTGTATCACTCAGCTGTAGATCTTCAATGTATCTCTGAATTGGTGCTGACACTGTCCTCCTTCTGGAGGGTGGCTACTTTTGTGCCCCATGGTCCCTGTGTGTGTTGTAAAGTAGCCACCGCTCCAAGCTTGCTCCCGTGATGGACTACAATCACAATACAAATGAGTAAACTAAACATGAGATTGCAGTCCCTCATTTGAGCAAGTTTGGAGCCGTGGCTACTTTACAACACACACAGAGACCATGGGGAACAACAGTAGCCACCCTCTAGAAGGAAGGACAGTGTCAGCACCAATTCAGAGAGATACAGTTTATCTGATACACAGATAAACTAAATTTTTGATAATAGTTCAGGTACTTGAATGCATTTTTAAGGTTTAACTCCTGAGTTTAGTGTCACTTTAACACAAGGATACAGATCTTTATTTATAGCCATATGACTGCAATTTTCTAATCTATTGGCTCTCAGCTGAAAATGTCATGTTTTTTTGTAAATAAGGATCCTTGTCCCAGTGTATTAGCTATGTGAATTAAGCATTTTTGTCTTCTGTTGGTATATGAGAAACAAAAACACACTCCAAGCAATAGGTTTTGGTGTGCATGTGGATGCAAATGTGTGCGTCACAGCATTACAAGGGTTAAATTATGTATGGTTTGTCGGTTTTAGAAAATAAATTTACAGCCTGTACACAGGAATACATGAACATTCATTGGCTTCATATAGAATATTCTGTTGTTTGTAGTTTTTCAGTGGTATAGAATTCTGTTGAAGAAACTCACGGTTGCTGGAAGTGTAGCGGCAGTATCATCTGGTGCTAAATCTCCTTGCTGAATGTGTGACACCTGGGGATTCATTCATGTGAACAGAATGCTCAGTAGTGCGTTGTGCTAGATAGTATAGTTCCCTTGTCAGCTTCATTATCATAGGAACACTGTTTCATCTTTCGAAGTGTTAGGTCGGTTAGTCTAACGCCAGAATTCCAGTTATGCAGAATGTAACATATATATATACAGAAAATATACACTGCCTACCCCAAAAAAGTCACATACTGTAATATTTAATTGGATTGCCTTTAGCTTTCATTACAGCATGCATTCGCCATGGCATCTTTTTAATAAGCTTATGCAATGTCTCTACATTTATTTCCGTCCAGAGCTGCATTAATTTTTCAGCAAGATCTTATGGTGGTGATGGGAGATTCGGACTACTGAGTAAAGTGTTCTCCAGCACATCCCAAAGATTCTCACCCCCATGCCGCTTTAAGGACTTACCTTAAATGATGCCTCTTGATCTGATAATCTTCCTTCTACTTGTATTCAGCAGTCCCTCCAGCGCTGGTGCTGGTCCCCGATCCAGCGCAGACTCCTGTCTCCTCCTGTCCCACTGTGTCTGTCCGATGTGCACGCTCCCGGCTGCGTGCATTCTGCTCCACTTTGCCTCTCCTCTTCTTCCCACGAAGATCTCTACTGCACATGCGCCCGCCCCATCTCGAGCGGCCATGCAGGTTAAAGCTTCAGATCTTCAGACGGGAGTGGAGGGCGGAGACATAGGTAAGTTTTTACCTATTTGGTAACTTTTTTTATTTTTAAATATTTTTGCATATATCTACTGCTTGCTATAGATACTGTTATGCAAAAAAAAACCAAACAAGAGTTGAATTCTGCTTTAAGGTCTGGACTGGTCTGTGTTGGCCAATCCATGTGTGAAAATGTTCTCTCATGTTCCTTGAACCACTCTTTACCAATTTGAGCCCAATACATCCTGGCATTGCCATCGTGGAATATTCTCGGGCCATCGGGCAAGAAAAAAAATCAATTGATGGAAAAACCTGATCATTTAGTATATTTAGGTAGGCAGCTAACCTCAATTTCTGGGCACATAACGTTGCTGAACCTAGACCCGTTATTCAAAAGAAGGCTGTTAATTATTTGCTTAGTTAAATCCAGGAGGTGACTTTTTTGGAACAGACAGTGTAAACTATAAAGGGGACATGTTCAACTGGTAGTGACACAAGACAAGGATACCCACGAACAGTCTAAGCAGGTTTGTCCTGCACTTTTATTCAACAAGGCAATAAACGCAGTTCAATGCAGGATAGTGGGTGGGGGTAGGAGGGACTTGTAGTGTCTGCCTGCAAATATTTTATAGGAATATGAAAGGAAACACTTGATAATCTAGCTTAAAGTGATGCAATTTGCTGCCCCTGATACCTCTCTTCCCTTTTTTCTTTTTGCTCCTTCACTCCTCTAATTGCCTGCTGAAGCATAGTTTGAAAAGGGCTCTACATAATGGTGCTGGTCTTGGTCATTGGCTGCTAAGGTGCTGAGTGAGCCATCATAGAAGGAAGAGGAGAGTGTTCCTATATCCAGAAGTACCAAGTATTTCTCTTCACCTCCAGAAGCTGAACAGAACAAAAGGGAAGCAAAGGAAAGCAGCAGAAGTTTGTGAAGACTGACTGATCCACTTATATAGTCAAATTCATACAAACCCTTCCATTGGCTAAAGATCCAACAAAAGAGTTCCAACATAATTGCCTGATTTTATTTTATTTAGAGTTAGCCTTGGGGTTATTTCCAAGAAAATAGCACCCATTACCCCAGTTACATAGTTAGATTTGAGGTTGAAAAAAGACACAGGTCCAATAAAGTTCAACGTGTGTGTGTATGTGTATGTGTGAGTGTTGTGCGTGTGTGTGTATATATGAGTCCCTGTGTGGTCTAGTATTTAAGTGTACACGTACCCCTGTATGTTACAGTCTCTTAGGATAGTATCTAATTGATTTTTGAATGAATCCATATTCTTTGCAGATACCACTGCTTGTGGCAGTGAGTTCCAGTCTTTCAACATCTGTGTAAGATATAGAAACTGATCAGGCCAACTGAAGAACAGCCTATTGTATTTATTAATGACTTATTATTCGAAAGAATGAGTGAATGGGGTGGATGCTTTCCTCCAACCTCTGGTTGTACGTTTATCAAATCTCATTAGGGATACTCAGCACCAGTCTTGTCCTAATTATGATAGCTGAATTGGAATCACAAGTTGCATTGGGTTATTGTCGATGTCAGAGCCCTATACTCTTCTGCCTTCCATGACAAGGTGATTGTAGCTTTGGATTATTATCTCAAAACATGTGGTGCATACACAAAAGAATTGAAGGTTTTGTTTACTGCTGTTGAATTCTTGCTTCCTCACAATTTCTTTCTTTTTGATGGAATGTTCTACCTGCAGACATGTGGAGCTGCTATGGGGGCCAAACTTTCCTCCCCTCTTGCCATTCTATATATGGTTTTGTAGGATATGCTCCACAATAGAAACCCATATTGTGGGAATATCTGTTGGTATGGCCGTTACATAGAAGATTTGTTGCTAGTGTGGCAGGGTTTAATGGGACATTTTGGATGATTTTGTACATTGTCAATGATAACCTTTAAATTTGACTTTTAATATGTACTTCTTTTTTGATTTGACATTATGAAGTGATCCAAAAAGGCAAGGTATCTACATTTGGAAAACTGTGTAGTGGTAATTCAACTTTATTAGCAATTAGCTGCTACCCATTGCACATGATAAAGACAGTACCTGTGGTGGAATTTACTAGGGCTTTCATGAACTGCTCAGATAAGACTAGTTATAAAACAGAAGTGGCTATAATATACATATAATAGAATATTTGAGTCAGAATACTATTCTAAGTGGACTATTGATAGAGTGAGACATATTGTCAGCCATAAGAGCCTGGATTTTTGTAATTGAAGGATCAGCAGAGTAGGGGTGGACTGAATGAGAAGAACGAACCCGCTTTTGCCACCTGTTTCTCTAACGAATATATTAAAGTTACTGAGATGTCAGAACAGTGAGTATTGGGATAGCAAAATATTTTTGTGTAGCCCAGAGTGCCTCCTTAACATGAAAAAAATAGTTCTTGTCTTGGGGAAGATTTGTAACGTTGTTGGTTTACCAAAAATCAAACTGGATATTCAGTTTTCAATCGAGAACGCCAAGAGCTTTAAACTATCATTGAGATTTGCATCTGCATAATAGAGGATAAAAAAGAGGATCTGCCTTGATTTAATTTAGGGCTTTAAAATGCGTTTGGACTTTGACCATTGGAGAGGCTCCCTTATTGCATTTTCTACCTCTGGATTCTGTCCAGGGCTCCCATCTGGGCCCCTTATAAAACCCACCTAACCCTAGCTTGAGAGCTGCACAAATTAAATTTGGCATTGACTATATTGAACACTAATATGATAAGAACTAGTGCTCATAGCTTAAAAAATTAGTATGAAGGAGATACACTTATATGTTAGATGACATCTAGTGTTAGTTGTTGTTATACTTTGGGTGTTGTAATTTAACATGTGTCTTGTACAGCATATCTGTGCTAAAAAAAGCTTTTCTTTCCTTACAGGCTGGTCTGAAAAAATTTTGGGAATATGTACAACATGGTTCTGCAGAGAAGGTGGCCAGGTTGCTGGATAAAGGCTTAGATTCCAACTATCATGATTCAGAAACAGGAGGTAAGAAACACAACTGCAAATATACAAATGCCTTATAGGGTATATTATAAAAATATTTTTTTTTCTCACTCACTGACAACAACTCCCATCCAAGTAATGGACCTAATCAAGGTGTCTGATATCCAGAAGGAATACCCAATTAGTGAACAGTCTGTTATATTTCTTAGGGGCTCCTGTAGCAGAAGTTGAGCATGGTGGGGGCAGTTAGCCTTTACGAGCATGCACAGCACATTATGACACACTTACCTCTGGGTGTTCTCTCCACCAACAATGTGAGGTCTGAGCTTTCCACATCCACCCCATTCCCACCAGTGCCATCTTCTCTTTTCTGGGTCCCTCATCTTCTTGCTTCACTCATTGGGCCGGCACTGATGATATAACTTCCAAGCATGCACATTAGAGTCACATTATCTAGGCATCCAGCTCTA